TACTCCCAGCGGGGGTGTCCTCCCCCAACCACACTACTCCCAGCGGGGGTGTCCTCCCCCAACCACACTACTCCCAGCGGGGGTGTCCTCCCTCACCCACACTACTCCCAGCGTGGGTGTCCTCCCCCACCCACACTACTCCCAGCGTGGGTGTCCTCCCCCACCCACACTACTCCCAGCGTGGGTGTCCTCCCCCACCCACACTACTCCCAGCGGGGGTGTCCTCCCCCACCCACACTACTCCCAGCGGGGGTGTCCTCCCCCACCCACACTACTCCCAGCGGGGGTGTCCTCCCTCACCCACACTACTCCCAGCGGGGGTGTCCTCCCTCACCCACACTACTCCCAGCGGGGGTGTCCTCCCTCACCCACACTACTCCCAGCGGGGGTGTCCTCCCTCACCCACACTACTCCCAGCGGGGGTGTCCTCCCTCACCCACACTACTCCCAGCGGGGGTGTCCTCCCTCACCCACACTACTCCCAGCGGGGGTGTCCTCCCTCACCCACACTACTCCCAGCGGGGGTGTCCTCCCTCACCCACACTACTCCCAGCGGGGGTGTCCTCCCTCACCCACACTACTCCCAGCGGGGGTGTCCTCCCTCACCCACACTACTCCCAGCGGGGTGTCAACCACCCACACTACTCTGGAACCTCAGGACTACGAATCCGAAGCACTGTCCATTCAGCTGTCAGGCCCCAAATGGACTGTCAGGCTTCCCTGACTTGCGTAGTAGTAATGCAAGTTTTCAGTAAGAATGATGGGGATGATAATGCCACTATGCCCACCACCTCACACAACGGGCTCACCATAGCCCGTGCTACTTGGAACTTTTTGTTCCAGGTAGCGAATCATAAACAGCCTCTCACATACTCCTCAGTTCTGTGTTACACACCTCTAATACCGGGTTAGTCATATCGGGAAAACAAAAAATCGGAATTGGCGCTCAAGCAGATTCAAGCTGCAACTTCAAGATTGACTCTGTAACCAAATTCAAATATCTTTGCCTTGAGGTCCCACTGTACGACTATTGTAACCAGACTAGGGGTCGTCAGAGGTGATGAGGGATCGGGGCTCTCAAGGGTTGGGGCTAGGTGGCATCCCAGAAAATTATGTATCTCTCATATATTATCTTTATATTTCACTCCTACTTCTCTAGTACATACAAGACTTCTTGGAGGGCTTAAAATTATGTATAACGAAGCCATGAGGCTCATCCTCTGATGCCCTCATATAACTAAGTTCCCAAACGTGGAAGGAACTCCATATCCCTTGTGTGAGTGATCGAATCATTGAAATTGGTATGAAGATGCTTAGATTAACCCAATCCAACCCCTGTATTGATGCCCTCCAAGCCTTCTTTATCGAAGGTCAGCTTTAGTAATCCATTCAAAATAACTACTAAGACAGGACCGGAACTCAGAATGCATCAGCTTCATGATCACTACCAGGAGAGACAACAACGGCACCGTCCCGCTCCTCCGGAGATTACCCCTTTCCAAACTACCATCTCTCTCTCTCCATCCAAGATCATTTATAAAGATCCACCCAAGCTTTGACTGGAGGTAAAGGTGCTCTGGTTATACAGCGTGTTCTCTCCCCAACTATTTGGAGCGATGATTCCCTGCAGCCTTACACTGGTGTTGCCGGAAGTGTAGTTGTTGTGGCCGAGAGAGATGTATCGTATTGTCTCAATGGACGTCTTGAGGAGTTGAGTGCAGTCTAGGACGAGTCACAGTTAATGTGTCAACTTTGGGTACGTGTACGTGTTTGAGAACATGGAGTCTGTGGCAGAGAGAGACGGCGCCTATTCTGAGTAAGAAGTGTGTAAAAATAACTTGTCCTCTACCCTTCAGATGTTTGTCATACTCCATGTTCTCAAACACGTACACTTACCCAAAGTTGACACATTAACTGTGACTCGTCCTAGACTGCACTCAACTCCTCAAGACGTCCATTGAGACAATAAGATACATCTCAAAAGGATAGAGAAGCTTAGCTTTTTTCTACCATCCTAACTTCAAGACGTAACGTGCTTCTGTCTGAATTAAGGTGCTTGTATAACAAAATAAGCCATGATGGAATCCGAGTCTCTTACAGATTCCATCCCATATTGGTCTCCGAATGCATGATACAACAGACGAGTCGGCCGAACTATATAACCTTGGCTAGGGAGCTGATTACCCCTTTGGATTGCTTATGAGCAGCCTGATGCCAGCAAAATATATACAAACTTAATAGACCTGAGAAAAAGTGAAATGTAAACTAGTTACTATATGCATCATATATAGGGTGTTTTTGAAAAAATGATATTTCGTAATCAAATAACGACTAATTCTTGTTCAAGTGATTTTAAATTTTAACAGCATGTGCAGAACCAACTCAACATTCAATGTTTAATGTTTTTTTCATTTCAGGCATAGAAATGGCAGTCACGGGAAAATAAAAGGCGTTTACAATACACAATAACAAGGCTGTGCAGCGCGCATTTGCGAGAGAATTCGCTAAAAATGCACCGACTCCAATACAGATTTGAACATGGCACAACAAGTTCAGAGAGGAAGGCTGTCTGTGCAGGACCAAGGGATCTGGACGACCACCAGTACCGGAAAGCAGTACCGAGCAAGTCCGGGAAACATTTATTTGAAGCCCCCAGGAAGTCTACATGAAGAGCAAGCTGGAATCCAAGATCCCTCAAAATGGCAGTTTGGCGTGTCGTAAGGCAAAGCTTGCTAATGACGCCCTACAAGCTGAAGCTCGTTCAGGGCTTTAAGACAGATGACAAGCAAAAGCGCAAGCAATTCTGTGTCGACATGCATGAGAAACTTGGGTACGAGTTTGAACACAACGTCTCCCGTCTCCCTACAAGCCTCGAGGAACCCCAGCACAGCCACACTGGGGACTGTCAGCCAGCACACCCCACCAGGTGTGTGGCGGGAACCCCAGCACCGCCACACTGAAGACCGCAGGACAGCACACTCCACACCAGGTGTGTGGCGGGAACCCCAGCACCGCCACACTGAAGACCGCAGGCCAGCACACTCCACACCAGGTGTGTGGCGGGAACCCCAGCACCGCCACACTGAAGACCGCAGGCCAGCACACTCCACACCAGGTGTGTGGCGGGAACCCCAGCACCGCCACACTGAAGACCGCAGGCCAGCACACTCCACACCAGGTGTGTGGCGGGAACCCCAGCACCGCCACACTGAAGACCGCAGGCCAGCACACTCTACACCAGGTGTGTGGCGGGAACCCCAGCACCGCCACACTGAAGACCGCAGGCCAGCACACCCCACCAGGTGTGTGGCGGGAACCCCAGCACCGCCACACTGAAGACCGCAGGCCAGCACACTCCACACCAGGTGTGTGGCGGGAACCCCAGCACCGCCACACTGAAGACCGCAGGCCAGCACACTTCACACCAGGTGTGTGGCGGGAACCCCAGCACCGCCACACTGAAGACCGCAGGCCAGCACACTCCACACCAGGTGTGTGGCGGGTGCTGGACTACCCACTAAGCATGGCGCGCATATTTTAAACCAGTGAAATCGTTCATGAAACACCTTTGAATTTCTCATATCAATTTTGATGAATGAATGTTATTTAACTCAACATTAAGCCAGTTTAGTTGCGATTACCTAGACTATATAGTTACTCAGATGCTTATAGCACAAATAATTGTTTGAAAAAAATACTTACAGCCTTACCGGAAGGTTTTATGCCTAGATCAGTTAGGATTATATTAAGACGAAACATTTTATCTATATTTTTATATTTTTAAGCTCACAAAGGAATTACTGATTAACTGGCTTAAGTGGCTATCCTGCTCTGATAAGATCTCAGCCGTGCACCACCCCACCAACCACCACCACAGCCGTGCACCACCCCACCGCCAACCACCACAGCCGTGCACCACCCCACCACCAACCACCACAGCCGTGCACCACCCCACCAACCACCACCACAGCCGTGCACCACCCCACCACCAACCACCACAGCCGTGCACCACCCCACCACCAACCACCACAGCCGTGCACCACCCCACCACCAACCACCACAGCCGTGCACCACCCCACCACCAACCACCACAGCCGTGCACCACCCCACCAACCACCACAGCCGTGCACCACCCCACCACCAACCACCACAGCCGTGCACCACCCCACCACCAACCACCACAGCCGTGCACCACCCCACCAACCACCACCACAGCCGTGCACCACCCCACCACCAACCACCACAGCCGTGCACCACCCCACCAACCACCACAGCCGTGCACCACCCCACCACCAACCACCACAGCCGTGCACCACCCCACCACCAACCACCACAGCCGTGCACCACCCCACCACCAACCACCACAGCCGTGCACCACCCCACCAACCACCACAGCCGTGCACCACCCCACCACCAACCACCACAGCCGTGCACCACCCCACCACCAACCACCACAGCCGTGCACCACCCCACCAACCACCACAGCCGTGCACCACCCCACCACCAACCACCACAGCCGTGCACCACCCCACCACCAACCACCACAGCCGTGCACCACCCCACCACCAACCACCACAGCAAGCACCACCCCACCACCAACCACCACAGCCGTGCACCACCCCACCACCAACCACCACAGCCGTGCACCACCCCACCACCAACCACCACAGCCGTGCACCACCCCACCAACCACCACCACAGCCGTGCACCACCCCACCACCAACCACCACAGCCGTGCACCACCCCACCACCAACCACCACAGCCGTGCACCACCCCACCACCAACCACCACAGCCGTGCACCACCCCACCAACCACCACAGCCGTGCACCACCCCACCACCAACCACCACAGCCGTGCACCACCCCACCACCAACCACCACAGCCGTGCACCACCCCACCAACCACCACCACAGCCGTGCACCACCCCACCACCAACCACCACAGCCGCGCAGGAAGCCATACGAACAATAACGAACCAACGTCCGTCAATCCACTTACTGCAGTGTCTCCCATAACGAAATCGTTGACTCTCCCTCTCTCGTTACTGTGTGAGCGTTACGGTGCTCTGCGTTGGTCAGGCGGTGACTGTTGATGACTACTATGTGAGGCTGACGGTGACTGCGGCGTGACGGAGACTGCGGCAGCTGCGGGAGGCGCGATGCGATCACCTCGGCACTCCCAGTAAACACTGCGGCGGCCGCCTGCACCTGGCGGGCTTGGCGCCATCGCGGAAGGAAAAATGTGGAGACAGCTATTTTAAACGCTCCACCTTCTAACCTTATATCTCACCTTAACGCTACGTGATGCAATAATATTATTTGATGCAATAATACTAACTCGCGAACTTATTTAGTTTATAAAAATAAGTAGTATGTGAGAGCGGTAAACACCGATGAAGGTTTTCAGTTCCTAGATGGTAGTTTTGGCGCCATCTGGGAGACAGTAAGCAACCGTCCGTGTTTTGGCGCCTTGCCCCGCCTCCGTCATCTGGCCATACACCTTTATTATTATTCTCTTCTTCTTTATTTATTCTTTGGTCAACATTTCATTCTTCTCAGTTGACATTTAAATCTTATAAAATAAAAGAAGACTGGTAATATTTATCAAAATTCTCCATCTGGTGAACCAAATTTTTACATTGAATAAATACATGATAACGTATCTCTACTACGTTATCATAATCGTTATCATGATGGATCTACGTTAATACATGATCTATTTCTCCAGGTCTTACACGCCTGAGACACAACAATACAGCAATATGGAGCGAAACTCAATAGTTCAAAATTCACATACTTATTCTCGAGATTTCCGCCCTAGGGGCCGGAGAGGCGGCGTTGAGGCGAGTAGCAGTAGTCTGTGATGGACCTCGGGCGGTGTAGCACTCTCATCCCCCGACCTGACACACCTAACTGTTCGCCTCGCACCAATTGTCTCAGAAACTGTATATGGTCACCACAAGACTCACCAGTACTGTATATGGTCACTACAAGACTCACCAGTACTGTATATGGTCACTACAAGACTCACCAGTACTGTATATGGTCACCACAAGACTCACCAGTACTGTATATGGTCACCACATGACTCACCAGTACTGTATATGGTCACCACATGACTCACCAGTACTGTATATGGTCACCACATGACTCACCAGTACTGTATATGGTCACCACAAGACTCACCAGTACTGTATATGGTCACTACAAGACTCACCAGTACTGTATATGGTCACCACATGACTCACCAGTACTGTATATGGTCACTACAAGACTCACCAGTACTGTATATGGTCACTACAAGACTCACCAGTACTGTATATGGTCACCACATGACTCACCAGTACTGTATATGGTCACCTACTCATGGTTCATCTTTAGCGAGAAACTCACTAAACATGAATAAATTGTTGAATAAATTTACAAAATGACATACAATTTGTGAGTGACAGTGATGAAACTCATAGACTACTCTATCATACAATCTGCACCGTGAGCAACAGTATACAGATTTAGTATTTAATATTGTCACTAACATCAAACACAAATTGACGTTTTACGATGAGAAAATGTGATTGAAATATATTACATAATGTTACTACATAATGTTATGTAGTTCTTAGTTACGATATTAAAGTGGTTGAGAGAAATACAGCTTTTAGTCACCCTTTTGGAGGCCATTCAATAATTAGGACACTTTTCTGACAAGGCATATTAACGAGGAGCAGCTCTGTACTTCAGGGGCCAGATTCCCGAAGCAGTTACGCAAGCACTTACGAACCTGTACATCTTTTATCAATCTCAGACAGCTTTGTTTACAATTATTAAACAGTTAATGAGCTCCGAAGCACCAGGAGGCTGTTTATAATATAACAACAGTTGAATGACAAGGTTTCATGCTTGTAAACACAAGGGGGAATGTGGCAGTGGCTGACACAGGGGGGGGGGGGGGGGCAAATGTGGCAGTGACTGACACAGGGGGGGAATGTGGCAGTGACTGACACAGGGTGGAATGTGGCAGTGCCTGACACAGGGTGGAATGTGGTAGTGACTGACACAGGGGGGGAATGTGGTAGTGACTGACACAGGGGGGAATGTGGCAGTGACTGACACAGGGAGGAATGTGGCAGTGCCTGACACAGGGTGGAATGTGGCAGTGGCTGACACAGGGTGGAATGTGGTAGTGACTGACACAGGGGGGAATGTGGTGGTGGGTGACACAGGGGGGGGGGGAATGTGGTGGTGGGTGACACAGGGGGGAATGTGTCAGCCACCACCACAGGCAGACACAAGGGGTCGCTGACATCACTGACTCCTGACTAAGAGCTTCAACGTACTTTACGTCTCGTGACGCGAGAACCAAAACACTCAATAATAAGTTGAGAACAAAAAGTAAACAAAGTAAAACAAACATGTATACGCTTTATTTGTTTTTGGTCTTTTGCTTGTTTGTGGGATGTTCGATAGTCGTGACCCGGGGCCTGATGAGCCTCTTCTTGTTGGTTGAGGACTTGGCCGCCCTCCTGAAGGTCCACCTCTCCCGCTGGACGCTCAAGAGGCTGCTCAAGTCCAGGCTGAAGGTCAGCCTCCTGCAGGAGGACGTCCCCACGACGCCACTTGTCGCTACCGCGGTAACCCACGCTGCTGCAGCTGTTGCTATTCCTGTGGCCACCCCTGCCGGTAGAGCCGCAGCTGTTCCCACCCCTGTGGCCACCCCTGCTGGTGGAGCCGCAGCTGTTCCTACCCCTGTGGCCACCCCTGCTGGTGGAGCCGCAGCTGTTCCTACCCCTGTGGCCACCCCTGCCGGTGGAGCCGCAGCTGTTCCCACCCCTGCCGGTGGAGCCGCAGCTGTTCCCACCCCTGTGGCCACCCCTGCTGGTGGAGCCGCAGCTGTTCCTACCCCTGTGGCCACCCCTGCCGGTGGAGCCGCAGCTGTTCCCACCCCTGCCGGTGGAGCCGCAGCTGTTCCCACCCCTGTGGCCACCCCTGCTGGTGGAGCCGCAGCTGTTCCTACCCCTGTGGCCACCCCTGCCGGTGGAGCCGCAGCTGTTCCCACCCCTGCCGGTGGAGCCGCAGCTGTTCCCACCCCTGTGGCCACCCCTGCCGGTGGAGCCGCACCTACCACAGGTGGAGCCACCACTGCTGCTGCGCCGGGAACAGCACGGGCCGTTCAACACACGTTACAGAAGATACAGGACGCAGTAAGGCGAGTGTATAAACACCAGTTGGACGCACAGTGGGTCCCTTCCCGCCTCTACAACCCTTGCGCACTGGTCGCTGAATGCCTCCTGCATAAGGGCAAAGCGCGCACCGCGCAATGCGCAGTGGTGTACGAGAGGCCGACCTTAACCGCGTGCATCAACAGATACAACGCTTGCAAGCACCCAAAGATGAGCCAGTGGGAAGCCGGAGGATTCTATCGCTGGAACCTGGCGCCCTTCATGTACAGTGTAACCGCCATCTTGACCGGCCTCCTGCCCCGAGGCTTTAACGTATTCTTTGGACTATCTACATTCCTCGCCGCGGCCTATAACGACTACCGGTTATACATCGCCTATCAAGACGATCTGTCTTTCATCGCTGATAACTGTCCGTTCTGGTGGTACGACAACGACCCCCGGTGCACCCCCAGGCGCTTCGCTAGACACGTCAGCTCTCTCATAATATAATATTGATCACCAGCTTGATTACAGGTTCACCATAGCCCGTGCTACATGGACACTTCGTTCTGAGTAACTACATCTGAAACAACAACTCCAGCTACACCCTCACTTCGCAACCACTTGGGCTGGACGGTAGAAGAACGGTCTCGCTTCCTGCAGGTCGGCGTTCAATCTCCGACCGTCCACAAGTGGATGGGCACCATTCCTTCCCCCGTCCCATCCCGAATCCTGATCCCATCCCAGTGCTGTATAGACGTAATGGCTTGGGACTTTCCCCCTGATAGTTCCCTTCCCTACACCCTCAGTTTACCTGCGCGCTTACCAGTGGGTTTACCCGCGTGCTTACCAGTGGGTTTACCTGTGCGCTTACCAGTGGGTTTACCTGTGCGCTTACCAGTGGGTTTACCCGCGCGCTTACCAGTGGGTTTACCTGTGCGCTTACCAGTGGGTTTACCCGCGCTTACCAGTGGGTTTACCTGTGCGCTTACCAGTGGGTTTACCCGCGCTTACCAGTGAGTTTACCTGTGCGCTTACCAGTGGGTTTACCCATGCACTTACCAGTGGGTTTACCCGTGGGTTTACCCGCGCGCTTACCAGTGGGTTTACCCGCGCGCTTACCAGTGGGTTTACCCGCGTGCTTACCAGTGGGTTTACCCGCGCGCTAACCAGTGGGTTTACCCGCGCGCTAACCAATGGGTTTACCTGTGCGCTTATTAGTGGGTTTACATGTGCGCTTACCAGTGAGTTTACCCGCGCGCTTACCAGTGGGTTTACCCGCGCGCTTACCAGTGGGTTTACCTGTGCGCTTACTATTGGGCTTACCTGTGCGCTTACCAGTGGGTTTACATGCGCGCTTACTATTGGGCTAACCTGTGCGCTTACCAGTGGGTTTACATGCGCGCTTACCAGTGGGTTTACCGCGCGCTAACCAGTGGGTTTACATGCGCGCTAACCAGTGGATTTACCTGTGCGCTTACCAGTGGGTTTACCCGCGCGCTTACCAGAGGGTTTACCCGCGCGCTTACCAGTGAGTGGGTAAACCTCGTTCTGACAGTTCCTCGACGGCGCTGGAACCAATCGTATTGGCGTTTGCCTTTCCATTAGAGACTTTCGGCGCCGTGGAGAGTGGGGGGGGGGGACCTGCTGCATGGGTGACAGCTTCTCCCCCGTATCAACCTACCCTGGCTTTGCGCCAGGGTAGGTTAATTTTATATGTACTTGATCTCCCAGTAGTATAAATCTGATCAATCAATCTGTTTTTTTTCACAGATTAAGGAGAATATCAAGAAGAAAATACTCCCAACTATCAAAAGTGGCCACAGAGCCAAAGTAGCGGTAGGAAGATCCACTGCGATATGGTACGAACAAGCCACTGGGAACTACTCTTTCAAGCCTGACCAAAAAGATATCCAGAGACATTGCAGTAGCCATACACAGACTCAGACTTGGCTACAAGTGCTGCTGGGAGGTAATAAACCCAATAGTTAAAGAGTGTCATATCTGTGGAACAGAAGCAGAGGCGCC